TTATGGTGCGTTCATAAATCATTCTGATTTATTTCAAGAGTCAACTAAAACTTATTCATCAATCTCTGGCTTTACACTTCACCTTTTTTTCTATGATATTCAAGTAACAATATAGATTCAGTCTTGGGTTGTTAGAAGCGGCTAGAAAATCAGATTAAGCGTTTCACCAACAGCATGCACGAATTGTTGACTGATAAACAAGAAGTGGAAATGTTTATCATTGTACTGATAAAAAATGTAGAAAGTGAGTCTATGATTGAAAGACACGTCAATCTTACAAAGATAAAGAAGGTGATGTGATTTTTACTATAGAATTTAAAATGAGGTAACTATGTATTTTGCATTATGGGATAAGCTGATCAGTGGAGGTTACGTCGTGGTTGCGTCGATTCAATAAAGGGTATTAAGTCAAAAACATCGATATACAAAACTGAATAGTTTCACAAAATCATAAAATATGATTCCTAATTTCAAAAATTCAAGATATTACACAAGTATATTAGTGATTTAACAAGAATAAGTCATGATAAAATGTTTTGCCGTTTTATACTCATGAATTCCACTACTTGGACATGAATGTTATTTTATCTGTTAGGAATTCAGCGATCTAAAAATGAGTTTGATGATGTGAAACTGTTGTACTTCAGATAGTGATCTATCTCATAAGGTATTATCGAACTAAAATAAATATTATGGCTTAAGCAATATTGAACTTATGTGGAGTAGAGAAAATAACAAAGAGAATAACAGAGAATAATTATTTTAATCTCATGATGTTCATTTATAGTTGTGATTACAAATATTTAGCCCTAAGCCTATTTTCGATTATGAAGAATACCTATTTCTTTTTATAGTACTGTTTGCAAATATTGATTAATTCTTGTTTACTATTTATTTAACAATATTTTTACAGAAATAGAAAATCTACAATTAAATTATCGAGATCAGTACATGTAATATATTCATTAACCACCAAAGTGATATTAAGACGGTCAAAATAATTCAAAAACAATTTTCCAACTATGAAGAGATGAGAGTAACTGATATAGTTGACATGATGTTCAATCCTTCTGTCCCTAGTAAAAAGGAAAACCCGACTATTCATCCAACTTGAACTGTTTATCTAAACAATCCTGTTTAATCCTGTAGATGAATAGAAAGCGATTATGTCGTAAAGTGATCTGAGATTTCAGTTATCAAAAGAAGGTTGTAAAAGGATTGAAAAGAATAAGAGGATGAAAATAATTGACGTGTTAGATGTATGAGAGATAATTACTAATTTAACAGATTTGAAGAAGAAATAAAAAAACGTGAAGGTCATAATAAATTATTGATTATGGTTTAAAAGGTAGGAAATACTAATTAAGACGAAAAAAACACCGAAAATGTATCGATGCACATCTGTAAGTTTACTTACTGTTGAAAAGTGAGTTACATTGGTCGCAGGAAGTGAACACTTCCTCAGCACAGGACATAAGAGAGGTATGTACGTATGTACTGCTCAGTCGTTTCCAATCAAGTAAGCAATGCTGGTGTTAGAAGAAAGCTACTAGATATGAGTGGCAGATCAGCTGATAAATTAGTGAAACTTCATCATTTGGGGTGGTTGAGACATCAACTACGTCTGTCCAGCCTTTGACGGCCTCGGTAAGCGACGATGCCTGCTGTAATGGTAGGCTGAAAGCTGGGGTCGCCTCCAGCCAAAACATGGCACAAATCCATGAAGTCCTTGACAAATGAACTGAACCATGTTAGTAAGTGTAGGCTACCTGGTTGGGGTCTGAGAGACAATAATAACCGATGGTTAGAGACCTCGGATGACATGGCTCAAAACCGTTTGTAAATGAGCAGGTGCATCCATTCTTTGGCTTTCTCAAATTCTAGTTTTGTGAATTCCTCATCGCCTTTATCTTCCTCTTTTTAACTTTGTTTCACGGGATTGTTGTTTGATTGATTTGTTCGAACCCTAATCTCATCCATTACTGCTAATACTTGTACTACGTCTTCTACCATGGGATTTGAGTTGGCCATCGAGTCTCTTTGTTATTATGGTACGACAACTTGAACTGATGTACTGGTGTACTTATGCATTCTACTTTGTAACTGAATGACTGATTGTAGTGCGAACTAACGATCTTCGGTCTCGCGTGAAAACGCCGAACTATCGTATCAGCACCAACATCCACTGGTGCTTATATCCACTTCTACTTCTTCTTCTTTCGGTATTTAAAATTTAGGATCCTCAAATATAATCATTAATTATTATTATCTATAAACTCATTCGATTCGCATCATCTCTCATTCAATCAACCAACACAAATACACTCGAATTTCAAATCTAATCCTTCTCTTTATAAAATTTCACATTTTTTTTCATACTCACCAAATACACCAAAACACCAAAACAATGAATGACGTGCCATTACAGAATCACCTTGACTTAAATGACATGACACTGACATAACCAGACTTAGTTTACTTTTGATTGGATTATCGAGATGCCATATTGTGTTCCTCTTAACTATTTAAACTTTAAATTTGATTTTATTTGTTTCAATTTACTTTCTGAGGCAACAATTTCAATTTATTTGTACAACACGTTAGAAATTCAAATACCTATTTATTATTTGAATATCATCACAACTACACATCATTAGTTTATCTGGATTCTTTTTGTATTTAATTACGAGAAAAAAAAATGCTTGTTACATAAAATTTCTTACACATAAACCACATTTTTCATTCACTTAAGAGAAAGATTTTGTTTGCTACGCGATTTAAAACACAATAAGGTAGGCATGTTTATAGTAATAATATAAAATTTATTTTTTTATGATTTCTAATTATGAGTGAAGAGAGTTATTAAATTATGTTTTTATTTATTTGAGTAGGGATAAATATTTTTTTTTCAAAGCAATGAAAAAAACTTTATCAAAATCTTCTGTCAACAGAAGGGATTAATGGATGAAGAGTTCTAAATAAGTATTTTACGGATACAGAAGGCTCGATTGGCTTTTGCCAATTTGCGTCACTTATGGCGTAGGCGAGATATCCGTTTGCTGACTAAAGGACGAGTGTACTGCGCAGTAGTTCGTCCCGTCTTACTTTATGGCTGTGAAACATGGCCAGTGAGAGTAGAAGATATTCGTAGGTTACTGGTTATCGATCATAGGTGTCTTCGAAGCACTGCTCGTATATCCTGGGACACCCGAGTGAGTAACGCTGTTATTAGGAAACGGGTACTAGGTAAGAATGGCAGATCAATAGACGCAGTAGTGACACTTCATCAGTTGAGGTGGTTGGGACATGTGTTGCGTATGCCTAACCACTGATTGCCTCGAAGGCCTTTGTTTCGTAGTGTCGGAGTAGGTTGGAAGAAAGTTAGGGGCGGTCAAACCAAAACATGGCAGAAATCCATGAAGTCATTGACGAGTGGACTTAGCCATGTCGGTAGTTGTCGACTACCTGGTTGGGGTGCGCGAGATGATAATAATTGATGGTTAGATACCCTGAATGACATGGCTCAAAACCGTTTGCAATGGCGCCGGTGCATTTACTCTTTATGTTCTCTCAAATCCTAATCTTCTGGATTCTTCAACCCCTCTAGTTTTGACTTTCTAAACTTTTCTCACTGAATCATATTTCTTGAATATCTCCTAATCCTAACCTCTCCGATTACTTCTAGTACCTTAAATACCTCTTCTACTATTGGATTTGAATTGAAAATTACATCTCTGTGCTGATGTGGTATGGCAACATGAACTGATGTACTTACGTGCGAAGTTCTACGTTGCATCTGACTGAAATAAGTATTTTGTTGATTTCTGCGTTCATTGGTAAGGTGTATTCGAAATTTGAAAGACACTCTTACTCTACAAGGAAATCAAGTTTGTGCTATTTAGTGAAGTAGTTTTAAATCCTGTGTATACTCAAGCTTCCGGAAAACAAAGTACTTCTGAGAATAAGTATTAGTACTGAATACTGTTAATAAGGAGTCAACTAAAAAACAGTTGAAGCCAATGTTAGACTTATGAATATCACTATTTATCTCTGTACACATTGAGGTTAAAACAAGTACATTGTAAATCAAATCGATTAAATCTATTCACTATTGATTATGCATAAAATCAAATAGTATTGGTAAAAATCAATAAATGCTTTGCAAAGGCCTAATTTACTCAATTTCCGTTGATCTACGACATTGTTTATTGTCAGTAAACCGTCTTCATTTATCTGGAGTGATTTATAATGATATCAGAAAATTCATGAAATCAGACTAGAAATTCCTCTAAGTAAAACGAAAGACACAGACGTACTGAACCTGTCAGTCTCGAAATAAATGATGGCAGTCGTGCAACATTGTGAATCACTTCAGGTTAGATATTAACACTGTTGAATGTAGGCTCATTGGTTCGTAGCTTAGGCGTTCTCACGTGGGAGCAGAAGATCTCAGGTTTGATCCCTGTTCTCGAGATCTTGGATGCGTACTACTACTGATGAATCCTACCCTAGAACGAAACGATCTTCCAGTGCTTACAGGTTTCCCAGTTGTGGTCCAACAGTGATCAGTGCATTATTTCAACAAATAATCAAAGATGAAACTGTAGGTCATAAAACAACCATGGATTATTCTCTTCTATCGGTCTAAACAACACATAATACTATTCTTCTTATTATGCTGGTTGAATATAAAAAATCGGACAGCTAATTTCCTATATATATATATATATATATATATTCATTAAAAGATAAGCTGATTGTATTAAGTTTTTATTAAACAGAAAATCTGACTCTTTAAAATATTTGTTTTATCTCAAACTTTACAAATAAGTATAAAATTGTTACAGTGGTCATTTTGAGAATTGGAAAGATAGACAATAGTAAAAATATGAAAATTTTAGAAGAATAATAAAAATACTTAAATCTTTTTTCGAAATGTATATATATATATCTATATATGTATATATAAAGTGTACATAAATTTGACTTAAAAACACTGATCAATGTCCTTCCATGAAGTTTTTAAACTCATGAAATTCAATATAACCGCTTTTGTCTGTATCACAATATTCAAATACTCTTCGTAAATCTACTGAAGTAAATGAACCGCCATAATTTGTCATGTATTTCTTAAATTCTCGCTTATTTATTCGTCCATCATGATTTTTATCAACTTTTTTAAAAACTTCCAACCAAAATATATCGCTAGAGGAAATTGAGAAAAAAATAAAATAAAAGTTGATTAACCTAAAAGTTAAGCAGTGTATAAGTTAGATCAAAGATTGACTACTACTGGAAATCAGAAAGCACTGGACAGACATTTTTTTGCTAATAAAGGGCTCCTCACTAATGCGCAACTGCAACCTCACAAGTAGAAGTCGAAACCAGGACCTTTGGTTTTGTGTGCAGGAACCTAACTTATAAAACAAGTAGGCCGGGATCCAATGATATGCATGACTAACTTCATGATAGTATGATAGTATGCGACTGCCGTTCATTGTCTTCATTGAGTACCTTCTTTAACCTCGATGTGGTTTCAGCTTCATAACCCAGTACTGATAGTGTAAGATCTAAACAAGAATTTTGATGATTTAATGGTTTGGTAGCGTAAAACTATATATTATATAAATTCATTTTAAAGAAGTCTCATTATTATTTAGCTATTAGATATATTTTATTGTTATGTTCGTCGCTAGGTATGCTTAAAGCTATTACGAGTTCACGTTAGTCGATAAACGCGAACGAGACAATGAACCAGCGTCCAGATAGGCTACCTTGAATCCCAAGCTGTAAAACAAAAGTTTTGGTAAGCGTAGAAAGTATATTCTAGAACACCCAGCAATCACAATACAATCAAGCACACAACTATTGTTTATTTATACAACATAGAAACGTCCTTGGGACAGTTACAAAAATAGCACACTAAAATACACAGCAGCCAATCACGGCCATGGATTTTCCTGTTGGGAAATGAAATCTCAAGGTCAACTGATCAGCTTATGCTCGCAAACGTGAAATCCAAAATAAGGCATTATCAAGCGAATTTGGGGGATCTAACATCCCCAACATTTATGTTCTAAACATTATCTTAGAATAACAAAAATGTTAAACTGATGAATTTCTATTTAAGGGTTTTAATTGTGCTTCTAACCTCTTCAGCAGCATTTCAATTTATTGGAATTGAAATCACTGAACCGTCTGGGTAGATAGGATTTATTTAATTTAATTTTAAAAGATGGTTAGGTTTAAGTAAAGTTGAAGGAGTTGATCCGTTCATCAAGAGGTCTAACTTCAAAGTCTCATTCCAGATGAAACTGAACAGTGCAGTTTAATTAAAATTTTGAGGTAACTAGTGGAGAACAGTCGGCTATACCAAGTCAGTGATTTATAAACAAATACAGGCATCATCATTAACTATTTCCTGCACACCCACCTACCATCAATAACAACCTATATTGTATTAGCTGTTCACTTTTTATGACTTGACATATTTTCTAGCACTTTAAATAAACTTTTCGCAAAAAATTAAAGTATTTTATCTTGATACATCCCAGAAGTTGACTGAAGTCAGGGTATGATAAGACTGTGATACAAAATTCTACGAAAAGTATCCAACAAAATCTAGTATAATTCTACCTTAAATTTAATTAATCACAATAACGTTACCCATGTTTATGATTGCCGGAGTAACTGAGTTTAACATACACATACAATGACCAAATTGCATACTACATATCAAGCGTATTCTGAGATTCTGATTAAAATCCAAAAGTGGCGTATAAAACTAACTGGGTAGTCATTATTAAAGGATTTGTATTTCAGTTATCTGTTTAGTCGTAGTTTTGATTCTTTAAAATTCAAAGCATATTCTTGTACAAGTTTGAGACTCTCAAATTTTCTTTTGAACCATAAGCTTTGAGCGTCCTCAAGCTGACAACGAGATTAAGGAGAAGTTACGCTTTTTGGTTTGGGTGATATAATCAATGTCATTAGCGTAAGCCTCGAACTTTTTTCATAAGTGACTAACAGCTTTTTTTATTCGGCACTGAGTCTGATTTATTATTGTGAACACTTAGTGTGTTATAGTTTCTACATTTATCTTGATTGTCTTCTCCCCTGACTTGATGTGTTAAAGAAATATTGGAAAGGATACTGAAAGTTTCAAGATTATATCATCCATAGCAGAGAATAAAATTCCTCCAAATCGTTCCTCTTCTCTGAATTACTAGTTGAAGAGGTAATATATATATATTCAGATATCGAAGATGAATAATGATATAACCGTTGAACAAATTACCTAGTTCTTAATGATAATATAACCTTACGATATAAGATAACCTAAACATTAGCAAAATATTTAGGAATGACACAGGTTGGCTGTTACGGGAACAAATGAAATGAAAGATGAGAAGAAAATAATGCCAAGCAAGTTTGGAGACATCAGTTTTTCAAATTAGTGGCACACTGTCAATAAAGATGAAAATCTGCTAGTCACTGTTCAATGTACAAATACTTGATAGAAAACGAAGTCAAAATGTGAATAAATTCTGAATGAAATAGTTGATTGACAGTTGTCAATTTTATATAGTTTAACTAAACTAAAGTTAACGTAAAATAACTCTACGTCATAATTCATTTCGACATATTTTAAAAGTGTTAAACTCTTTTCACTGTAAAACAACTTTTTAGGAGTAAGAACAATCGATAGAAAAAGTTATTGATAAGTTATTAGTTCATTTACTACATGATAAATCTTAATTCTCAATTAATCAAACGAAGTTAACGAGAAATCACACTAACTTAACAGTTTAAAAGTTTTTCATCTGTCTTCTGGTAATAAATTTCATATATTCAACTTCATATTGAATCGTAGCTGTACACCTTTGGATGATAGTTTAAAACTAGAATAAAATCAATAAGACGTGTTTTTATTTCGTCTTGTTAGAAACTGCAATATCAGTCGTTTTTTGAGTGCACCCATTACTTAGTATTGTTGATTGAGAACAGCATTGCAACCCTATCTACTCCATTGATATTTTGAGCAATAAACGAAAGTGTTTTAAGTTAATAAGTAAGCGTTTATTTTCTCTTAAAGAAGAAAAGTTAAAGTAACCAATCAGAGAACAATCATGTTCAGTGATAGAATTGTGAATTTTGGGAAATCGTAAACTTTTTTTGAATTTCAAAAGTATATTTCTTGAATAAAGAATAAAAATAGTGAATTGGATACTTGTTCTGGAAAATAACTGTCATTTTTCAATTTTAAATAGTTTTCTAGTGTCAGTTTACAATATAAGATGATTTCGAAAATATAGAAAGCTTGTCATGAACTATCAGAGTAAACTATTTATTATTGCTTGAATGTAATTTACTGTAACGTGCTTCAATTCCATAAAATTGTTTCATATAACCATCATTCATCAGCTGTGGCATTTTTTAAATCACGATTGAAATGAATGTTTAAATAATATTTGAATTGTGTGGGAAACCGTTGAATGTTACAATAATAGTAAGTGAATTTTAAATTATACAGCTGTGAAAAAACTTATATAATAATCTTTAGTTTGGTGTAGGCAGTAACTACCAAATACAAATGGGAGAGGTAGCGCAAAATCCGTAGATCAATCAGAGTTAGACATTAGCACCGTTGGATACCGTCTCAGTGGTTAAAAGGTTAGGCGTTCGCTGACAATACGGAAGGTCTCGGTTTCGAATAATTGCGAAGTACAGGAGTCATGGATGAGTCCCATACCAGGACGAAACAGCCGTCCAGTGCTTCCAGGTTTCTAATGGTGGCCTAACAATGATTGGTTGATGATTTCAAATGTGTAAAAACCCTAATCTCCATAACTTTAATTAAGAAATGTTTGGTTAGTTTTCATTATGAGCTAATGTTCATGACCGTGTGATGGGGCACAAAATGTTATTCTGACACGTAAAGCTTTTCCAAAGATCTTTGGTTTATATGAAAATGCATATATATATATAGTTTGATCACAGTTAATCAAGTTATGCTACATATTCAGAATATATACATGTAGGCAGAGCTAGATTATTTCAGGAGTGGAGTGATGAATCATTGGATTTAAAAAAAAACATGAGAATTTTCAGTCGGATCTCATAAATGTGATTCTGTATGCCCACAACGCAAAATAGGAATCGTAAACTACGAAACAATAGCTATTCACTGTGTCACCTTGAGTGTGATCTAATGAGAAGTCCCATTAAACGATAAAACATCTGTCGAATGCTTTCTGGTATTAAAAGATTATTTAACTTGAATTAGTTTATAATCACAATAGTATTCTATTTTTTTCTCAAAAATTTTCCTTCTGGGAAAATGTTCTTAGTATCATCAATCAATCAACCTCATAATGAATAATCTTAATCATGAAATGTTAATGAAAATACATACGAGAATAATCATTAACTTACTTAAAATGATTGTCACAACTCATGATTGTCAGTTGATCACCTGTAATAAATATATATATGCATTGAAAATGTTCTTCAATGATATTAAATTATCATATACGACATTAATACGACCATACAAATTGTAAAAGATATTAATTATCTTATTGTTTATTGAATTTTGTCAATTTGGTCAAATCACAATATATTCTCCACCAATCTAAGTAATTTACCATTACACTGATAATATTTAAAAATGGTTTCAGAGAAACTTGAACTAAACGTTGTGAATTTTATTTTAGTCGACAGATAGATATTTTATTTGAAGCCATAAAACATCTCCCTCCACACATTCTCCTCACTAATATCACAAAAAGATTAGTTATTCGTGTTTCATTCGATTTGCAAAACTGATTTATTTTGATTAAATGAAATACTTGTAATAACCATATTGTCTAGCGTTAAGTAAATTCTGTTTTAACAAATTTAACACTTTTGATCAATCTATGATTTGTGAATGAACTCCGCTTGGAGTCCCTCTAGGGCTACTGCTGTTCCCAAGCCCGGGATAAAGGAGGCGGGTTGCAAATGGGCTTGGCGACCCCATCCCACAAAAAAACTAACTCGCTAAAACAACGCTAGCCAGAAAACATAAATAATGATTTCTGACTGATTTTTTTTACAATTAATTAACTAGTAGTGTTACAAATTAGAATTATTGATTGAGTTTTGGTTCTATTCATTGCATGCAATCACTGAAACACACAACGACTATTATGTACAGCTAATAATTTGAATAAATGATTTCTCATAGTATTTGAAGAATAAGGATTATTTTTTCGGGAAATAATTATTCTTAATAAATTTATCAGCCGAGACTATAGGCATATAACATTTTTTTTGAATTAAACAATGTTATCTAGTGAACAAATTGTAAACTTTTGCATTGATTATAGCCTAAATAAATCATACATACATAAATCAATTTGTGTAAAGTCTACAGTTAAACACAAAGTCATATCTTCTCTTTGTAGCTTAGTACTCAGTAGTACATTTAATCAACAAATATACTATATTTGTTTAGTATATGAAAAGAATGTTCAAAGAAAGCTAATCATTACATCAGTCAACATTGAAAACTCGATGCTTGAATAAGCAAAAACCGCTATAAACAAAATTCCATTGCAGTCTCATCAAAATTGTAAATGCACTTCTAATATGTGAATAGATTTAAGTTCATTAAGCAAACTGATTGAACAGATACAATAATGTTATGCATTTACAATCATAAAAGAGAAAAGAATGAACTTAAAAAATGAGAATACATTTTTTCCAGAAAACAATAATTTAATTAAGATACACAACTGAAATCTAAGTTGACATGTTTTCTAATAGAAACTATTGGTATTTTATGAAATTCTTCGGTTGGTTAACTCCTCTTTTTTCAGGTGATGCATTTCTAATCTTAAAAAGTTCATTTTTACTTAATAAATCTAAAGAATATTTACCATTTTGTAGTGCAGTGTATCAACGACAGTTAGATTATCAGGTTTTTGTGATAAATGATACATTTTTTGAATGAAAATTCTCGTGAAATCAATACATATGAATCAATAAGTAGGTAATGTCTAAATGATCACTTTTTTTTACAAAAAGCAGCAAAAACTTAATGTTCTAACCGACACAAATTCGAATTTCTTAGTGAAATATCAAATAATCCATTTTATGTTATCAATCCATCAGCCTGGAATGGAACCGAACGAAGTTTTCTTTTCAAAAAGTGTAAAAAAAAATAGTGCAAAAGAATACCACCCAAACTAACCTGGTAATCGGGTCTTACGCGTAGGACTCATCTTGTTGAATAAAATAACTAGTGATTAAATAAACTAACCATGAGTTATACGATCATTTATATATATATATATATATATCATTTTCTTGTTCATCTGTTTGTTAGTAAAACAATAACACTATGTCGATGTTTGTATAAGAAAATTTTACGTGATAGACAAGTGCGTCTCTCTTTCTCTGTGTGTTGTACAAATGTCTTTATTGTATTAGTAAATAAATAGTGCTTTCACAAGCACAAGCAATGATGATGATGATGATGATGATGACGATGATGATCATTATTATTATGTTGATCAAATGAGCTACATTTAATCTTTTATACAACATATTTAAATTGTTAGTAATACAGTTTTGATGTCATTTAGTGAATCATTTTTTCATTAATGTTAAATGACCAAAAATAGATGGTAGAGAAGTCAACACAACAATAATAAATGACTGATTTTATAAAGATTTCAGTATAAAAAGCTAAATTTATAATAATAATAATAATAATTAATATTTAAAGTTTAAAAGTGAATGACAAGACTAATTGACTGAATGATTTCATCTAAATGCAAGTGTAATGGACAGAAAAGTAGTCACAGCTATGTGATAATCTATCTATCTATCTATCTATCTATCTATCTATCTATCTATCTATCTATCTATCTATCTATCTATCTATCTATCTATCTATCTATCTATCTATCTATCTATCTATCTATCTATCTATCTATCTATCTATCTATCTATCTATCTATCTATCTATCTATCTATCTATCTATCTATCTATCTATCTATCTATCTATCTATCTATCTATCTATCTATCTATCTATCTATCTATCTATCTATCTATCTATCTATCTATCTATCTATCTATCTATCTATCTATCTATCTATCTATCTATCTATCTATCTATCTATCTATCTATCTATCTATCTATCTATCTATCTATCTATCTATCTATCTATCTATCTATCTATCTATCTATCTATCTATCTATCTATCTATCTATCTATCTATCTATCTATCTATCTATCTATCTATCTATCTATCTATCTATCTACCTATCTATCTATCTATCTATCTATCTATCTATCTATCTATCTATCTATCTATCTATCTATCTATCTATCTATCTATCTATCTATCTATCTATCTATCTATCTATCTATCTATCTATCTATCTATCTATCTATCTATCTATCTATCTATCTATCTATCTATCTATCTATCTATCTATCTATCTATCTATCTATCTATCTATCTATCTATCTATCTATCTGTCTATCTATCTATCCGTCTGTCTTTCTCTCTATAGTCTGTCTATCTATCTATTGATTCGCATCTCAAGAGGTAAGTTCGCTTGAAGTTAAATTCTTGGAAATTAATACTTTGGTTATGAACATTTTTATTGTTTTCCAATTCACAGTGACAATGTAGACTTTAACTTAAAATCGTATATCATTGAGAATTAAAACTAACTAGAGAAACATCGAGAACTAGGTAGAATACGACAAGTATTTAAATCTAGTTTAAAATTTCATTACAGTACACAATCGTGATATTTATTAACTTAAATCTTTAGGTTTTAAGGACAGAATTATATATTTCAACAATGAATTGAAAATAGAGATGGTTGAGATTTCCATTTTCGGATTAATCTTGAAATAGTAAATTGTTAGAAGTGAAATCGAAGAAGAATGTGACAAGAATTATAAGATGTTCATGATAGGAATTAACAAAAAAGCAACTCTCCTAGTGTTTGTCAAAAAAAAGTAACTCCAGTATGTATACTAATAGCTTTGGATATCGGTTATAGTGTTGTAATATTTTAAAAGGTTATGGGAGTGATCGGCAAAAAGCATTAGACCTAGATTTCATGCTGAATGGCGAGTGTCAGAGAGTTTAATTTAATTAAAATCATGAATCGATCAATGTTAAACCACCACTAAAAACCCGGAAGCACTGGATGGCCGTTTCATCCTACTATGGGACTCATCAACAGTGCACATTCACGACTCCTGCGACTCAAAGGATTCAAACCAAGGACCTTTAGTCTTGCGCACGATCGCTTGACCTCTGGACCACTGAGCTGGCATCCACTGGTGTTAATGTCTAACTTCGATCTATTCACGGTCTTGCACAACCCCATACACTGTCTTCAGTGATCATCGCTTCACAACCGAATAGTGTTGAACTCCACTGGTCAAGACTTCTCACTAAGATACGAAGAAGATTCCTCGCTAAGGTTCCGGGTTTGAATAGTGGTCTAACCTTGATCGATTCATGATTTCAAAAAGTAACTCAACAATCTCCACAACCCCAAAATTTACTTTAATTGATATTTCTAAAACACACTTCAGCTAATCTAATTCAGTGTTTGAAAAATGGACGTCTACAAAAAGATACAGTGTGGTTGGTCTTTATCAATCTGCCAACTGCAAATATTGATTACATCAACACATGAAGCTTACTCTAGGTGTTTAGGTACGATATTGTTCGGTATAAATGAAAGCGAAATGTTATTTATTACTTTACCGTTCCTTTTTAAATCTAATGTACCATTGATGAATGACTCGTCCAGTCTATAAGCATGAGTTTTCTAAATTTGCTTTGAAAGTTCTGAACGTGACGGGGTCCGTTTGAAATACTACAGTGCTAGGTTTGGTTTTGGGGAACGTCGTGGGTACTCATAAGGGTTTCAGCCAAACCGTGTTCTTGGTTACTGTTATTTTACTCTTAAAGTGGTTGGACTGCATATCATCGTGTTCCACCTTGTCGAAGGACTGAGATCTGATAGTCAAATAAAATTATTGTACGTCCACAGTTAGGATTAAATACCTAACTAACGCTCCCTAGTGTTCAGTGGTATTTCAAATGAATTTATTGCTTAACAAATTACGTCATAAAACTGAGTGAATGTTTACCGAACCTAACTGTTAAATATAGCATCTTTTTACCGTGTTAGTGCTACAATGTATGTTAAATTTAATTAACAACAGAATTTTTTACTGCCTTTTTAAGTAATATTTTTTTTAACTAATATTTATATCCACTAATCTTTGGTGATTACTAGTTAGTGAGTGGTAACAGTCAACATTTCAAGTTAAAAAATTTTAAAATATACAGTGTATTTTGATTAGGTAAATACGTGTGGTATCATACATCCTCAGTTAGTCAGTCACTTACACTACCACAGAACATCACGATCGACAGAATCAAATGCCGTTTAAAAGTCAAGGACTACAACTATAGTAGGACGTCAAAATGTTTGTCTACGTTCTTCACGAGTATTGTTACTGAGGTATGGCAACTTGAACTGATATACTTACGTACGAAGTTCTACAATGTAATTGACTGACTGATATTTTAGATACTATATTAGTTAAACTGATTCTTCTGTGATAGTCGAAAGAAGAATTTTGTACTTGCTTATAGACTGAGATCATCAGTTATTGGAATCGGTTGGATGGGTTTATGACCAGTACCCAGACTGTAACTAAGATCTATCAATCTAACTGCTAAAACTGGACTACCATCCATAAAAATCGCAGGAGTCAATTTGTCAGGGCCGGCTGCTCGCCCACGCTTTAGATTTCCTATGGCTTTTTCAACTTTATAATGGTTCGGAGGGCTTACGTCGACTTGCCATTCAGAATGACTGGAGGTCGTGAGTAACCGAAGTGTGTCTGAAGGCCAGATGAACTGATCCTTAAAGTGTTCTGCACATCGGTCCAGTCTCCTGGATTGATAATGGATAATAAGACCATCCTTTTCTGAAACAGTCTCACTCACATTTGGGTTCCTAATACCAGTTTCCTTGATAAGTCGGAAAGTTGTCTACTGTTGCTTATAGCCGCTACCTTTTCCATCTCTATACCTTTCACTACTCTGGAGTCTTTTCTTTTCACTGAGTCTACCTACTTGAGTATTAAAGTCAGCAGCCATTAATACTACATCAGAGCGCCTAATATTTTGGAGGAGGTCCGAAAGCTTTCTCTAAAACTCATCTTTCACCTCGTCTGAACTGCAGTCAGTGGGAATGTAGGCAGATACGATGAAGAGACAACAGTTAGTGTCTTTTCGACTCCTGACTGTCCCGTTTATTCAGACAGCGCATAAGCGATCCAGTCTAGGAGAGCTTGTTCTGGCCTAGGACTTGATGAAGTACCTACACCAACGATACCTTGAGAAGCAACAGTGAGGCTTCCAGATACACGGTCAGTTTAAATGGATGACGCTACTTGGATGCTGAGTACGCGTTTCCGAGACGCGGCATACATTGTGGCGCGAGATCCTAAAGTCCTAGCTAAGGAAGCTTGTTATCCTATTTAAAACAATGTCCGGACATTAGAAGCTCCCACATGTAATCCAGAGCGAGGCTTTAGGTGGCATTGTTTGCATAAGCGGTACGGGATGATAAAGGGATGTGGGAAGGGTGAGCGGTGGAGATAAAAGAGATGTTAGGGGGTGTAGGAAAGGTTTGTTTGTGACCGATTTGGTCTCGCTTGCTGTTAAGGGTATGAGGGCGGATATAACTTTCTGGCTACCCACTCCATGGAAGGTTGTTTCTTGATCAACCTGGAAAGGAAGGTAGATTATTGTTGGTTTTAGAGACCTGGGAGCGTAACCGCAGAGCCCAATGTACAATTTCTTGAGGCCGGAAACGCAGGGCCTTTTCATAGGTAGTATTTAAAGTGTTAGCTTCGTTCTTGTTTAAAAGGCTTTATCGCCAATATAGCTCGGTTGTTTCATCACGATAGGCAAGCCCGACCACCACATCAAGGTAGCAGCTACTGTCGGTCATACGTCCTATATCAATTCAATTAATTACATATGATCACATGTATTGATTTCAACAAAAAAGGCAATAAAAGATGGCCATTTTGTTCTGCCTCTAAGTATAATGAAATTCTTACCTAGAACTCATCAGAGTTGGAAGTCAAAACATTTAAGCCTCATAGTGAGTATCCTACAGTTATACTGTGAAGTTGTTATAAAATATTCCAGATTTT